GAGGAGGGGCTGGGGTTCAGGACTCCTGGGTCTGAGGGAGGAGGGGCCTGGGGCCTGGGGCCTGGTCTGAGGGAGGAGGGAGGAGGAGGACTTCCAGGTCTGAGGGAAGAGATCCTGGGGGTCAGGACTCCTAGGTCTGAGGGAAGAGGGGCTGGGGGGCAGTACTCCTGAGTGGGGGCCTGGACTCCTGGGTCTGAAGGAGGTGGGGCTGGGGCCTGGACTATTGGGTCTGAGGGAGGAGGGGACTGGGGGCCTGGGTCTGAGTGGGGAGGGGCTGGGTGTAGCTGGGCTCTTAGGTCTGACGGAAGAGGGGCAGGGGGGCGGCAGGGGGCCTGGTCTCTTGGGTCTGAGGGAGGAGAAGCTGGGGGCCAGGACTCCTGGGTCTGAGGAAGGAGGGGCCGGGGGCCCTGACTGGGAAAGGGCTTTGGGCGCTGTGGTCGGGCACAGCCCCAAAGCCACCACTCCTGCCCCTCCACCACCACAGCTGTCCTCTTTTGTCTTATGACATGTCCATGGGAACCCGATCTGAGCTGGGATTAGGAGAAGGTATTTGGGAAGGGACTGTAGCCTGAAGACAATAGCTGTCCCACCTCCAAAGGCTATTTCGGGGGGATGTCGTAGATGGTGAAATAGAGGACATTTCCTAAGAAGGGATTCAAGGGGGGAGGCTCCTGGGAGACTTGGTCACACCCGCTCCCTCCCACCCCTCCCCCTCCCCTCTGGCTGGTTACCTTCCCACCTGTCCCCTCCTTTCCCCACTGCCCACAGCCTAGGAGGAAGCAGGACGGGACAAGAGCAGCCCCGGCCACAGACCTCATCCTGACCCCTACAGGGACACCACCCCAACTTTGAGGTCCTCCAGGCTCCACAGTGCCCAGGTTAAGAGCATCCCTAAATCCTGATACCCGCAGATCCCGAGACCCCAATTTACGACGTCCCTGGTTTCTGGGGACACGCAAGTCCTCATGTCTCCAGAATCCGAGACCCCAATACTTGAGACCCCAGACTGTGGGCTCAGACTTCCTCAGATCCTGACGCCTGAGGTCTTAACACCTGAGTTCTGAAGCCTCAGCATCCTGAGACCCCCAATTCCTGAATCCCCAGAGTCTGAGGCCCCCAGTCCTGACATTCAGATTGTCTAATATCCAAGCCCAGATACCCCCCAATTTCTGAGATTCCCTCAGACTCAGACCTCCCAGGTCTGAAGGTGTGCTCCTCTGGGACGCCCCAATCTCGGCACCCCCAGACTCTGTAATTCCCAAATCCTAATACCTCCATCCTAGGTCCCCATAAGGGCTGAGCTTCCCAAATTCTCAAGCCTTTATTTGCTGCCCCCTCCACCTCCGTGGCTCCTCTCCACACCCCTCCCGTTTCCCTCCCGTCCCCTCCTCCAAGTACAAAGTCCCTGGAGACAGCAGGACCGTTACCTAAGGCTGGGTCTGCAGGAGTGGAGATCGGCGGCGGGGCAGAGCCTGGCTGACCGAGCTGAAGCACCCCTGGGTTTATAGCTGAGGCTCAGCCCCGCCTCCCAGGGGACAGGGAGGGGGAGGAATTCCTTTCTCCAACTGGGAGTCCCAGCTCTGGGGCGGCCCTGCCCCCACTCGGGCTCCACATTTAGGATCCTGGCTCCTCCCGGCTGCTTGGGGACCCCTCCACCCCATCAGCACCGCCCTGATCCCAGGCTGGGTCAGGTGACCCCGACCTCTGGGCTCCCCACCTCCCGTACAGCACGCTGCATTCTCTGCTTTGGAGTCCCTGGGCTCAGCACACAGTAGGTCCTTGGAGAATAGTTATTGACAAAAGGGGGACCGTGGGGCGCTTTCTCCCTTGTGGTTTCTGTCTCTGGGCCTCCACCTCTCTGACACTGCCTCTCCTTTGTCCCTGTGACTTTCCGCCCGTGGGTCTGTCTTTCCCTCTGTCTCTGTCCATCTCTCTGTCTCCCCCTCCCCACCCCCACCCCTTTGTCTGCCACCAGGATTCCACCCCGGTGACAACAGGCGCTAAAGCGGGGAAGCAGGTGTGGGTGGGGGGAGGGGAGAGGGTGTGGTGTCAGGCCCGCACCACCTCACACTCCACCTCCATCTGACACTGATCTGTTTTGGTGTTCCTCCCCCCTTCCTTTCCCTGCCAAGCCGTGACCTTGAACTCTAGGGGAGCCAGCCCCGAGGGCGGGATTCCTCACCCCTCCTGCCTCCCGGTGTCTCTGTCTCTCACTGTCTGCCATCTCTGTTTCTATTTCTGTGACTTTCTGACTTTCTCAGAGGGGGGGGGGGGGGGTCTCTTTGGGTCTGTTCCAGGCTCTCCCTGGAGCTCTCTGCGTCTCTGTGGTTTTCACTCTGCACGTCTCCCCATGCATTTTTGTCTCCACATTTCTGCGGGTGTCTCGGCCAATCTGCATCTCTCGGTATCTGTCTGCTGGTGTCTGTCTGTGAACCCGTTTCTGTCTCTGTCTGGCTCTGGATCCGTGTCTGTGTCTTTCTAGCTCTTCCCGGGGGGTCTGTGTCTCTGCCCTTCCCCTACTTGGGCCCCTCTTTTTGTCTCTTTCCATGGCCTCTGTGTTTCGTTGTGTACATCTGCCTCTCCGTTTCTCCTTTCTTTGCAGATCTTTCTAGGAATGGCTGTCTCGTCTCCCTCTCTTTGGGTCTCTGGCTCTCTCTGGGCCTGTGACTCAGTCTCTCTGTGTCTCTGTGCGTGTCTTTCTCTGGGCCTTGGTCGGGGCATCTCCGTGCACCCCCATTCTCACTCCCAGAGGAGCTGCGAATGCCCGCACGGCCCCTGGCCCTGCCCTGCTCCTGCTGTGTGGTGTGGCTTCTCCGTCTCCCTCACACCAAAGCCCCCGCCCCGGTAGCAGACGTGCAGCCACTCTTAGCTCAGAGAGAAGCTTTATTCCTCAGGGACGCCTTCTGCCTTCAGGGCCAGGGCGGCGGGGCAGCCAGCTCAGCCCTCAAACTTTTTCTTGCGGCCCTCCATGCCACTCAGCGCGTCGATGTTTTTCCGCCAGTCTCCCACCTCCCGGTTTTCCTGGAGGAGTGGGTTCAGAGGTGAGGGGCTCTCAAGCATCCTCCGCCCACCCTCCAGCCTCCCCTTGGGACGTCCAGCCCGGGATCTGGTTCTGGAACACTCCTTGTCCCCTCAGGCAGTCCGTTCAAATCCCCCCCCCCCCCATCCTGTCTCCCTCAGGCACTTCTGGCTTCCTTGCTTGCTTGTTACTTCCTATTATACCCTGCGGCTTCCCTTCTTGTCTCCCGCGTGCTCTATTCTTCTCTCTATTCCTCTCCAGTGGGGACTTCCTGTTGGAGACCTCAGGCGCATTTTGACTCCTGGCTACTTCCTTTCTCCACAGTGCCTGTTGAGGCTCCCTGGCCAGATTCTTCTCCCCATAACCCAAGTACCATCTGTCCTGAGCTTAGGCCCCAGGAGTGCTCCCCCTACACCCTCTCCTCGGAGCACCCCCTTTCCCGGCCCTAGCTGCACTCACCTTCTCTGTGTCCTCCTTCTTCACCTGCTTGAGGTGGGCCCGCAGGTCTAAGGACTCCTTAGCCCTAGTGCCCAGCAGTGCCTGCATCATGGCATCTGCAGAGATCCTCACCCTCCGCAGGGTGGGCCGCTTAAACTTGCCCCGAAGGTCAAAGATCTTCTGGGTCAGATCTGCGATCTGGGGGCAGCCATAAGGGGAGTGGAGACGTGCCCTCCTCCGGTCCCCCCTCCCCCAGCCCCACTCTCGCACCCCACACCTCCCTCCTATCTCCCTCCAGGCCTCATCCAGGCTCTCCCTCCCTCAGCTGCCACCGCCTTCGGGAAAACATCCACGCTCCTCATCCAGGAACTGTCAGCCCTCCCGGATCTGCCCAGCCTCATCTCTGAAAAACACTGACACTTCCTGGCCCAGCTGCACGCATCCCACAAAATTCCCTGTGCCACGCGTGAGCTCGCTCATCAACCCTCCGCGCTCCGGCAACACATTTCCGAGAACACGTCTTCTGTTTTCCCACCTCCTGGCTGCTGCGTGCTGTTCCCTCTGCCTGGAACAGCCTTCCCTAACCGCTCTATACTCATTCTTCTGCTCCTGTCTGCCAGGCCCACAGAGCTGACCCGGGTCTCTCGGTGTCTGCCACCACAAGCAGCTGCAAGAGATCAGGCTGAGACCACAGCCCCAGGCACCACACCCTAACCCTGGAAGGAAGGAGACTGCGCAATGCCTCCCACCTCTGTGATGTTCTTGGTGACTTTTGCCTCCACGTCGTATCTCTCTTCATCCACTTTGTCCACGCGGGCGTGGAGTTGTCGGCACAAGTCCTGGTCAGGGAATGTGGTGTATGTGGTGGTGCTGGTGGGGGCGGGGGGGGGGGGTCCCGATTCCTGCATCTGAGGGAGGAGGGGCTGGGGGCCTGGACATCTGACCCTGCAGGAGTAGTTTGAAGCCCGACTCTGGAGCGGTTGGAACAAAGGGTGCTAGGAGCCAGGGGTCCTGAGAATCTGACGGAATCGGGGCTGGAGAAATCAACCTCTGGCTTTTGGGACTTGTAGGCAGCTGCGGGCCGTATTTCTGAACTCCTGAGGGGAAGGATTGGGAGACTGGACCCCAAGGTCCCGAGCAGAAGTGGGGGATAGTGACTAGACCTGTGAGTCGCCCCAAGGATGCAGGACGGGACACTAGGAACCTCGGATCCCGGGCCGGGCCGGAGTCCCCGAGGAGTACCTGCAGCTCCGCGAAGCCCAGCCCGGCCAACTCCAGAGGCTGGCACCGCGTGCTCAGAGCGCGCCCCTTCTCTCCGCGCCGCTCCTCCGCCTCCCGCTCAAGCTCCTGCTTCGCGATCTGCAGCATCAGGGTCTGCGGAGGGGAGGCCGGGGACCGCAGCCCGTCCGGGGCAGCGCATGAGGGCCGTGCGGTACCGGGAAAGCCGCGCCGGCCAAGTCGGCCCTCCAGTCGCCAGCTAGGATGGTCTTCTGGAGACACGCCCCTCCGGGGCCTGTCCATCATTCCGAGGCCCCGCCCCCTCGTGGGGCTACCCACCACACGGCCACGCCCACCCATACAAGCACGACTCTCCAGCCCTGCCCGCCCCCCGTGAGGACACCGAGGCGCCCTCTCCAGGCCTACCCTCACCTTCAGCTGCAGTTTCCTCGAGGCGGAAATCTTGGACTTTTTCTGTCGGGGTGAGACGGAGCAAGGAGCAATCAAGGCGGGGAGGCGAAGACGGGCGGTGAGAGGGGCCTCACGGCCGCTCCCTCAAGCCCCGCCCAGATTCGGCCCGCCTCCAACGCCTGCCCTGAATCTAGCGGAGGCCACGCCCCTTGGTCCCCTCCACCAATCCGGACTTCTGATTAGGCACCGCCCCCCACGCCCTAAGCAATCGCAGTTCCCATGGGCAACGGAACTCCGCCCATACTTCACCAATCCGAGCCAGGCCCTCGGCAAAACTCCGCCCCCGAGGTGCCCCATCAGTCTTGGCTCCGCCCACTACCGGAGCCCCGCCCCTCCTTCCCCAGGTTCAGACAGCCTCCGCGGACTCTGAGCCCAGACTCGTGGAGCTCGGCGCTCACCTTGGCGTGCGGCTCCGTGGCGTACGCACGGTAGTTAGCGGAGGACCGGCGTCGGACCGGGGCCGGCGCGGGAGGCGGGCAGCCCGCCTGCGGTTGGGGGAACGGAGCCGCGTCACCGCCGGATTCCCCAGCCCCCCTGCACAAGGTCTCCTGGGGCTGCAGCCTCCCGCCCCAGGTCCCGCCCTGCTGCGCCCTCCCTTGCCGGGCGCCTCCCGCCCGCGTCTGCTCTCACCGCATCGTCGCTGCAGGAGGAAGAGAGACCGGGAGCGAGGGGTTAACATGGGCCTGTGTCCTGTCCTGCCAGCCCAACAGCTCCCCCGTCCTCGGGTCCTAGGAGGTCTGATTCCCAAACTTCCGTCGTGCAGACACCCGGGAGTCCTGTCTCCACCTCCCCTCTCAGGCCGTGTGCCCAGCCTCGCAGGTCTCAACCTCTCAGGACCCCGGGAGATCGCCCCACCTCTCGCCGCCTCGGACCTTGGGATTCCGGGTTACCAGGCTGCACTCACTTGTCCGCCATGCTGAGACTCAGGCCAGGGCTTGCAGGAGGCAGAGAAGGGGCAAGAGGCGCTTGGAGGGTCAGTAAGGGGGCGTCCGGGGTGACCTTGAAGGCCCCCGGGACTTTGGTCTCCTCCGGCCTGCCCAAGCTTCCCGGAGGACACTGAGATAAAGGGCGAGAACTGAGACTAAATATACTGCTGCCGCCTCCTCCCTCTGCCCAGGATGCGAGATAACTGGGGCGCGTGAGGGGTGGGGTGGGCCATGCTCCAGCTGGATCACCCTTCCACCTTGGCGGCCTGGGAATCCAGCCCCCTCCTCCTTCTGACCTAGGAGTCCAGGCCCCCAGTCCCCTCTTCCCTCACACCCAGGAGTCCAGGCCCCCAGCCCCTCCTCCCTCACACCCAGGAGTCCAGGCCCCCAGCCCCTCCTCCCTCACACCCAGGAGTCCAGGCCCCCAGCCCCTTCCTTCCTCAGACCCAGGAGTCTGGGCTCCACCTCCACCTAAAGTGCAGTCTCCATGAGAGCTATGGTCAGTTTCACTGCCCCAAACCTCTTAGCCACTCAATAAATTTTGATTTATTTCAGGATCCAAGTGTGGCCCAGACTCTCGCAGGCAACAGCACAGAGAAACCCACTTCTCGTTTACTTGGAACTAGGTCTCCTCTCTTGACCACCCTAGGCCCTCCCCTCCCCCAGCCCTGGAGACAAGACTGAGGACAGGAAAGCTACACGGGCACACGGAGAAGAGGACCCCGCTCTCTTTACTTGGACCATGTGGGTGCTGACTAGCCCTGGAGAGCAGACCACCCCAAACCCCAGTTAAAACAGGACCTCTGGCGACAAGGGGACCACACAGAGGGCCTGAGCCTCAGGGCCAGATCGCCAGGCTGTGTGTAGAGGCTCAGGAATGGGATAGAGAACTCTGAGAGAACCATCTAGAATTCTAAGAACAGACTATAGCATCCCAGGAATGTAATCTGAAATTCTAGCAACACCTCTGAAGCTGATTGAGAATGTTGAGAGTGTAACTGAGTATTCTACAGGCGGGCTCTACTTCCGGGACCTGACTAGAGGTCAGAGATGGGGGGGCTGGGCATCTGGCAGTCGGGGCAGACTCTCTGGTTTTGGGGTCTGACTCCCTGTGGGCGGAGCCTGAACCTCTGAGAGTGAAGCCCGAGGCTCTGAGGGTAGTTCGAGGTGCTCAGAGGGTGGGGTCTTGCCTTCCGAAGGCTGGGTCAGGCCCTCCGGGGGCGGGTTCCCTGCCTCAAGGGGCGGGACCAGGGCGTCAGGGGGCGGAGTCGCGGATTGTGCAGAGGGCGGGACCAGGGCTCCAGGGGGCGGAGTCGTGGATTGCACAGCGGCGTGGCTGCGGAGGCAAGCAGAGTCCCCGGACTTGTAGAAGCGTGCGAAGGTCTCAGAGGGCCTGTCCTGGTTCTGCGGGGTGAATCCAGCCGCCTGAGCTAGCTCCCCGACCCGGGCGGAAAACCCCTGCAGCTGCTCTTGCCGCAGGTCTACCAGGTACCTGCAACCAGGAAGTGGTGTGTTAGGGATCCTGGCTGACGGCCGTCAGCCTGGACGTTCCCTGTCCTCTCCTCTGCCGGCTCACCGGGCTAATTCCACGATCAGGTATCCTCCGGGAGCCACGCAAGCCCCGAGGTCGGGGCTGAGAAGATGCACCATCCTGGGCAGAGAAAAGGGGAGGACTGAGGCTCAGACTTGCAGGTCCCGAGGGAAGAGTGGGGCTGGGGGATCCGCCCACTGATTGAGGACGGTCTGGGGGCCAAGATTCCTGGGCCTAAGGGAGGAGATGTTGGGGGAGAGAAGTCCGGGAACCTCCCTCTTACCCACAGGCCACGTAGAGAAGCTGGAACCGTCCCTCGTAGCAGCTCTTGTGGTGAAGGGTTTGGGCAGAGCCGAGAGGCAGGAAGTGAACGGTGAATTCCGGGGAAGGGGCAGCTGGGGAAGACTCGCAGAGTTAGACAACAGACAAAGCTTGGAGATAACACTCTTTGCTTGTCTTGAAGCCCTTCCTCACAAGTGGGTTCCTGGAAAATTCTGGGAAAGTCAGCCCGGCAGGTAGAGAGACCCATCTTACAGACTAGGCAACTGAGACTCAAAAGAGGGCAAGAGTGGGTGGCCCTTCCTGGTGCCACAGGACATCCAGGAAGAACCAGGTTGGGGGATAGTTACAAGGAGGCAGACCGGAATTGAGGTGGGGGGGGGGGGGGGGGGCGGGGTCTCTCCAAAAGTGAGCTGGGACACAGCACCTTGTTAGAATGTTCTCGTCTCTTAGTCTTCTGCAGGTAGGATTAGAATTCTATCAGAATGGGCAAACCATAAGAGACTCTTAAATGCAGAGAGCAAACTGAGGGTTGATGGGGGGAGGGGGAGAGGGGAAAGAGGGTGATGGGCGTTGAGGAGGGCACTTGTTGGGATGAGCACTGGGTATTGTATGGAAGTCAAATCGACAATAAATTATATTTAAAGAAAATAATTCTATCTGAATGACAATAATGGTGTTAGGATTTAGGAAAGGGAGAGAAATACAAAGAGAAGAGAAAAATCGACAACTACAGGTACAAGAGACCATTTGTCCAGGCATTGGAGGCCATATCAGTACACACTCTGGGCTCGAAATCCCTGGAACCCGAAGCCCAGGATGGGGGTCCGGGTCCCACTCCTCCCCGGAGGATGATGTGCCCACTGTGTCACCCAACTCGCATTTCAAGAGGGCGAGCTGACTGGCACGCTTACCGCGCTCCGGGCTTCCAGGGCCCTCGCCGTGCACCTGCTCAGGGGTTCCGTGGTTGGCTGTCGGGCGCCCCCAGGCGGCCACCTCTCGGAACAGCTCCGTCACGTTGTGCTGGGTGATCTCACTCGCGGTCTGGGGAGAGAAGGGGCGCGGCCAGGGTGACCCGGCAGGGCCTAGCGTACAGCACCCCTCCCCCAACGCCCAGCGCGAGCATGCGGTGACGGATGGGATGCGGGTTAGTTTGGATTTCCAGACTGGGCTGAGAAAGTACGGGGGAGGAGGGGGGGCCTCGAAAACCCTCTCCCAGAACCCAGCACCTCCAGGCGCCCACCTTGACTGGCTGTCCGTTGCTGGTCCGCAGGAGGCTCTCATCGTCCGCTTCGATGCCAAAGGCCACGAATGGTCCCGTGGCGATGTCCCCCCAGTACCCGCGCGCTGCGACACGCTCCCCGTGCTTGAGAAAGCAAGGAGCGAAGAGGCAGGTAGGGTCAACGTCCAAGACCCCGGTTCCTATGTCCCCGAAAAGAAGGATCGGCCAGGGCAGGGAGGTAGACACTCACATGGCTCAGGAGGCGGCCGGACGCAAGGGTCCGGTTGGGCACGTGGTAGGCGCTGGAGTCTCTGAGTTCAAAGGCGACGCCTGTGTCCCTCCAACGCCGGAACTCGCGAGTGTGGATGACTCGGGCCTGGGCAGGGAGAGGAATGAACAGAAGCCTAAATAAATCTGGCATATGGCTCCCCAGCGTCCTCCCTCGGACCCAGGAGTCCAGGCCTCCAGCCCCTCCTCCCAGGCCCCTCACCCCGCGGTCGTGCAGCTTCATGTGCAAATCCCAGTCGCTGACACCGCGCCGGGCGTCGTAACGGGAGCCCAGGTAGTGACGCAGCCTGGAGTCCCAGAGGCGGCTCATGGGGAAGACCTCAGGACCCTTCTCCCCGCCGGCCCAGAAGCGGAACACAGCCTCCAGCGCGTCGCGCTCGCGGAACTGCACGGCCAGCACGCGTGGGGAGAGAGCGATGGAGAGGCGGCTGCAGCGAGAGCGCTTCCTCCCGCTTTACCCTCCCTGCCATCCCGGGGCGTGGGAATGAGTCTCCCATTTCTCAGACGAAGAAACCGAAGTTCTGAGAGTACCCCCCCTAGCGCACATCCCACAGTGGGCGCCGGGGAGCTGGGGTTCGACCTCCATTTACGAAAACCCCTTTGGATCGCCCAAGTGCATTGTTCCCGTGGCCGTCCGGATCCTGGGCGGTGACGCCACCTTGAGGGCGCTCAGGCTGAGCCAGGGCAGCTGCTCCGCCAGGCGGTGGGGCTCCGGGACCAGGCGCGCCAGGCGGTCGGCCTGCGCGCGCACGAAGGCGGCCACCTGGGGGCGCAGCAACGCGTTCCCCCACACCTCCAGGAAGGTCTCGCTCCTCTCTGGGGAAAGGTGGGGCCGGATTAGCGGGGACAGCAGAGGAGTGAACCCAGAAATGAGACCCGTGTGGGTGACGCATACCTTCTGTAGGGCAATCTCATTATTTTATAGTCACACATGCCTAAGGGACACTGGCAGACCCCCCCCCCCCCCCCATCCATCCCTCAAACAGGAAGAATTACTTAGACCTAATCTGGGCCTCCTAGTCTTCCCCGCCCTCCAGGTGAGCCCAGTCCTGAATTTCATGTTTAAATTTTCCTCCCCTTAAAGAAGAAAAGGTTATGGAGAGAGATGGAAACGGAGATTTATGCATGTTAAAATACCATAGCGTCAAATTATTCCATTTTAGTAGGAATCTTTTTCTTTTAAGGTTTCTATTTGTTTATTTTTGAGAGAGCGAGAGTGGGAGGGGCAGAGGAAGAGAGAATCTTAAGCAGGATTCACAGCCGGCACAGAGCCCGACACAGGGTTCCATCTCACGACCAGGAGGTCATGACCTGAGCCAAAATCAAGAGTCAGAGGCTTAACCGACTCAGCCACCCAGGCGCCCCTAGTGAGGAATCTTATAAGAGAACTGTATGCCTTTAGTTGGACACACATATACATCCGTATCAATGCATCTGTATCAATATACGAATTGTTTAAGAATCTTATAATAGAAAACTATATACCTTAAGTTAGATTAGATTAGTTCTAGTTTCAGAACCTTCTACAAGGTGCATTGTGAAATGTGTGCACTGTATTCTGAAGGCTCTGGGCTGTTAGCGACAAGTACCATCCATAAGTATGACAACAAAGTCTATATGACAAGCCAGGAGCTATACATTTTTTTTTTTTTTAATCCTCACAAGAATTCTATGGGGAAAGAATTTCTAGGATCCTCATTGCATCAGTGTATAAACTGAGGCCCAGAGAGGGGCAGAGACTAGCCCCAGACCACTCAGGAAATAGAGTTGGGATTTTTTTTTTTAATAATTTGTTTCTATGTTTATTTTTTAGAGGGAGATGCAGAGTGTGAGCAGGGGAGGGGCAGAGAGAGAGGGAGACACAGAGTCCAAAGCAGGCTCCAGGCTCTGAGGTGTCAGCACAGAGCCAGATGCGGGGCTTGAACCCACGGACTGTGAGATCATGATCTGAGCCGAACTTGGACACTTAACCAACTGAGCCACCCAGGTGCCCCTGGAGCTGGGATTTGAACAGACTGTCTCAGTCCAGACTTTGCTCTAGGCACTAAGCCGAAGTCGTTGTTACTGAGAAATTATCCTTTCTGCCTCCCCACCCAAATCCTCCTCCCCCCCCTTCAATCTCACTTCCAAGGCTGCCTCCTCCAGGCAGACTCTCTGGGATTCATGTCTCTAACTGAGAAGACTCAGGCCCATGGGAGGCTCTGGCTGAGCTCAGCCAAACCTTCCCCACATCTGGGAGACTCACTACCTCTTAAGAAGTCCTTTGATCTTTTTTGGACTTCTCCTGTGGTAGGAGGGTTTCAATGGCTATCCTGTGTCATGCACCATACAGAGAGTTTATGCGGATTTTCTGCCGGAATTCTTTCAATGGCTCTAGGAGGTTTATATTCAGCCCCATTGTACAGGTGGGTAAAGCTGAGGCTCTGAGACTATCAAACGAATGAGCGAGTAATGGAACAGGCAACTGTGACCCAAAGGTGTAACTGCACCAGTGAAATGCCAGAATGCCTGCGGGGTGGGGAAGAGCTGCTGGGATCATGATCTCACAGAATGTCTGGGTCCTTGTAACTGACCTTGCAGCCCCATCTCCTCAGGTCCCTCCAAGGCTAGGCTGAAGATCAGCATGTGTCGGGCTACAGCTTCCAGATTATTCTCAAGCACATAGAACTGGAAAGACAGGGTGAAATGATTCCCTGGCTCCTAGGATACCCAGGAGTGGGAGCCGCCATCCTCGTCCCTCCACAGGACCCAGACATCCTGTACACTGGCTTCCTTCAAGCACAGGAGTCTGGGCACTCACCTTCATTCTCCTCTCGCCACCCACCCCACAATCCCGGCTCACATGTAACCTCCTGCGAGGCCAGAGAGCTGCCCGGGCCAGAGTCCGAAGCAGGTGCCGCCCATCCACGGATCCCACCAGCAGTACATCTAGCTCGGGGGTCGTGTGCTCGGTATCTTCCCGCAAATCTGGGTCCACAGGAGGACCTAGTAAGATGACACAGGCTCGGGTTGGAGACCTGGAGAGCCTCCCCCTGCAGCCGCCCCAGAACGATGGACTACAACTCCCAGCAGGACTCGCACTCCTGGCCTAGGTTCCCGAGGGAGCTGTGCCTCTAAGCATTCTGGGAATCGTAGTCCGCAAAGGCCATTTGGGACGCCCAGGGAAGGGCGGCGCCGCCGTTGGAGCCTCAGAGAACGTTTGCGCGCCGCCTGCCGGGATGGGAAGGCAGCCGCCGGGTCAGATGTGGTCCTGGGGGGGGGGGGGGGGGGGGGCGGGGGGGGGCTCACTCTCAGCCTGCAGGTCCAGCGCTGGGGACAAGCCCCACCAGGACACGGAGCCGAAGCCTGTGCCAGAGCCTGCCGGTGTGGTCATCGCCCTGCAGGACAGACATCCTGGGAGTCCCCAAACATCGTCTCTGCCTCACCCACCCATTCCCCTGTCACCGCCCCTCATTTCTCGTCCCTCTCCTCCATGTGACATCCCCTCACCTCTATCCTTTCAAAGACTCCGGGTCGCCCCCTCCCTCCCTGCTCGGTGCTGCGCTGCTGCAGTTCTGCACCCACTACACACAACTACCTCTCGCCCCCTTCCTTTTCGACCAATCACCCAATGAGAGTACGCAGGTTGGCACCGGCGCGATCAACTGACCAATGAGAGTGAGCGGGACCGGCCCTCTGCGAACTTTTGGCCAATGGGAGCGCTTGCAGGAGCGGGAGGCGTATGGACGCGGTTGTCATGACGACGGCGCTGGAGGAGAAGGGGCGGGGCCAAGAGAGGCTGGGGCGGGGCAGGAGAAGCTGGGGCGGGGCCAGGAGAGGCGGGGGCGGGGCCTGGGGCTATCCACATATCTGGGATGGGGGTGGTCTAGGCAGATTCAAATTGACACAGAACAGGAGTAGAATCTTGATTAATTCGAATTCAAGTGAGGCAGCCTAGGGGCGCCTGGGTGGCTCAGTCGGTTAAGCGTCCGACTTCAGCTCAGGTCATGATCTCATGGTCTGTGAGTTCAAGCCCGCATTGCGCTCTGTGCTGACAGCTCAGGGCCTGGAGCCTGTTTCAGGTTCTGTGTCTCCCTCTCTCTCTGACCCTCCCCCATTCATGCTCTGTCTCTCTCTGTCTCAAAAATAAATAAATGTTAAAAAAAATTTTTTTTTTAATAAAAAAAATAAATAAAGTGAGGCGGCCTAGACCTCTGTGTCCCCTGTCCCTTTCTCCTCGTGGTTCTACCATCCAGGGCTTCTCAACAGTCGGGAAACAGCAAAGTGCTTGGTCTAGCTAGTGCTGGCCCCTGGTTGTTCAAGTTTCAGGATATGTGTTACATACAGTCATTACTAATTACTAAAATTAAATTCCAATTAAATGCATTACGTTACGGGGCGCTTGGGTGGCTCAGTTGGTTAAGCGGCCGACTTCGGCTCAGGTCATGATCTCACAGTCTGTGAGTTCAAGCCCCGCGTTGGGCTCTGTGCTGACAGCTCAGAGCCTGGAGCCCGTTTCAGATTCTGTGTCTCCCTCTCTCTCTGCCCCTCCCCTGTTCATGCTCTGTCTCTCTTTGTCTCAAAAATAAATAAACATTAAAAAAATTTTTAAAAAATGCATTACATTACAATAAAGGTAATACAGGGGCCCCTGGGTGGATCAGTGGGTTAAGCATCTGACTTCAGCTCAGGTCGTGATCTCACCGTTTGTGAATTCAAGCCCCACATCTGGCTGTTGGCACAGAGACTGCTTCAGATCCTCTGTCCCCTTCTCTCTCTCCCCTCCCTGGCTCATGCTCTCTCTCTCTCTCAAAAATAAATAAACATTAAAAACTTTCTGAAAACAAATAAGAATTTTATACTTTACCCATCGTGGATTTCTTTTTGGATCAGTTTTAATCTTTCAAAAATATTGTATTAAAATGCAATTTATCTTGATTGCTGATGATTTTGTTTTGTCAGCTTCGTCTTAGATTTGGGAACCTTCATCCTGACCCTGGGAAATACTATATTACTGCATGATGGCAGGCTAATAGGCCTCTCTTCTTGGCTTCGTATTCAGTGACTTCACATCGGTGGCTTGAAATCAGCCGTGCTGCGAGAATTTACACCATGGAAATAGGCAGACTACACAGCAGGGCTTCTTAAAGTTGGTAACAGCACACCGTGGGAGGCACACCAAGTCTTCTCTGGCCTCCACGTCCGAATCCTTTGCGTATTTCCCTCTGCTACACCAATTCCCCCCTCCCCGACCCCCAAAATGTCCAACTTCCAGCAGAATGGCCACAGCAGTCTATACCCTGTGACTCCCAGCACTTTATATTCAGGGAACCCGATGGTAGGATGCTGGAGAATATAGCTTTGGGTGTCAGACATGCCTGGCTTTACATCTTGCCATCACCTGCTGGCTGAGAGACCTCGACCAGGTGACTTAACCTGCCTTTGAGTTCCACAAGGGCAGGACGTGAGTGAGGCACGTCTCCAGACCAGCCCTAGCACCCAGGACGGTGTGCAACACCCAAGGAGCCTGGCTCTCCAGCTCCACGACCTGAGGTAAGTCAGTCACCCTTTCTGCACCTCAGTTTTCTGCTCTGTAAATTGGGAACGATAACATGCAGCTGGCTGTGGTGTCAGGGATTGAAGGGGGTCCACCTGCCATCCAAGGACAGTTCTGGGCACTGGGGAGTGAAGCTGGGTCTCAGCAGTCCCTGCGGGACTCACTGGCCTCCTGGCTCTTTTGAGAACATACCAAGCCTGCTCTTGCCCCAGGGCCTTTGCAACTTAGGGTTCCTTCTGCCTGGGATTCTCTTCCCCTTCATGTTTATTTTATTGTGGTAAAGTACACCCAACATAAAGTTGAATGACACTTAGGATATTTACGATACTGTGCAACCATCACCACTATCCAGCTCCAGAACTTTCTCATCACCCTGTGCTCATTAACCAGTCTCTCCCCATTTCTCCCTCTCCCTAGTCCCTGCAAACCACGAATCTACTTCCCCCCCCCCCTTTGGATTTGCCTCTTCTGGATATTTTACACAGATGGAATCATACACCAAGTGGCCTTTTGTGTCTGACTTCTTTCACTTACAATCACGCTCTCAAGGTGCATTAAGCTGTAGCATGAATCAGCATACAAACTCCTTCTTATGACTGAATAGTATTCCATTATACATCCCCCTCATCTTTGCGAGCCTCATTCCTTCTTGTCGTTCACAACACAGTCCAAACATCACCTCTTCAGGAAAGCTGTCCCTGACTGCCCTTTCTAAATCATCTCGGCCCTCACTAACTTACTGCCCACAAGGATCACCATTTGTAATGATTTTGTTCTTCTCATTTGTCGGCTTTCTTGTTGAGACGTGGAACCAGGGACTCTAACTAACTCAGAGCAGATTCGATCCCAGGACTTAGAGACAGACTTTCTGGCTGTATGATCCTCAGAGGTCATGCTACTTCTCTGAAGTCCAGTTTCCTTATTTGTCGACTGGGATTAATAATCACGTCCATTTCACGTGATGGCTGTGAGGATTATTGTTAGCAGCAGCAGCAGTAATAGTGATAATAGTAATGCATAATGCTGTTTTCATTAAGATGTTCCCTAACTCACTCACACGTACGAAATTATTGCATTTTTTAAAGAAATTTGTTAAATCGCTTAACGGGGCATCTGGGTGGCTCAGTCAGTTAGGCGTCTGACTTTGGCTCAGTTCATGATCTCACAGCTTGTGAGTTCGAGCCCCATGTCGGGCTCTGTACTGACAGCTCAGAGCCTGGAGCCTGCTTTGGATTCTGTGTCTCCCTCTCTCTCTGCCTCTCCCCCACTCGTGTTCTCTCTCTCTCTCAAAAATGAATAAAAACATTTAAAAAAAGAAAAAAGGAGAAATTTGTTAAATCGCATGGACATCACAACCTGTGTAACATCAGATTTCCCTTTTCCCATTGGCTATCAGGAAGCTCAGTGCAAGTTAGTACTCTGCCTTTTCTTTAGTATATGGGGGAATCTTTTGCCTCATTCTCCACTTAACCTGCTGGTCAGAGAGCTTTCTTACCAGGACACCTGGGTGGCTCAGTTGGTTGAACATCCAACTTTGGCTCAGGTCATGATCTCGCGGTTCGTGGGTTCGAGCCCCACGTCGGTCTCTGTGCTGACAGCTCAGAGCCTGGAGCCTGCTTTGGATTCTGTGTCTCCCTCTCCGTCTGCCTCCCCCCCCCCCCCCGCCACCAACTGCTCGAACTCTGTCTCTGCCTCTCTCAAACATAAACATTAAAGAGAGAGAGAAAGAGAGAGAGAGAGCTTTCTTACCAAGTTGCATGGACCTCTGTCTGCCACCTGAAATCCTGTCCAGGATAAGAGGAAGGAGAAGCCAATGTAACGATCATCTTTCCTAGACACAGATCAGGAGGCAGACTTTGTTGAAGGAAGACGGGTGTAGTTGGAGGCATTGGCTTTTCCCTGTGTAACTTTGTCCTTTCTGCCCGTCGCTGGGAACTTCATTCCCAGACTCTGCATCTCTACTTTGTTTCCTTGATGAGAGTAAGTCGTTTGGAGGCAAAGTCTGGATTTGCATCAACTCGGGGTTCCCAGCGTCCGACAGAAGCTGCCACACTGAAGACATCATGAAAAATAGAATGGATAAACGATGGAAGAAGAAAAGGAAGGGAGGGAAATATGGGCATGGAAATCTAAGTCACGGGTGAGGGAGTGGATTAAATTCACGAGCAAGTAAGTGATTCACGGACTCCTGACAACGAGCATAAAGTAGGTGTTGTCATTACCACAATTTTTTCAGGTGAGGAAATTGAGGCTTGGAGGGGTAAGTGGTGGATGGTGGGTGGGTGGGCCCGTTTCCCTCAGTGCGTTTCCAGGATGGGCAGCGCTATCCTTGCCCTTGTGCGATCCCACCCTCTTGCCAGCCCTGCCCCTGCCCAGCCCCCATCGGTGAGCATCAGGTCAAGCCACCAAAGTTGCTGAGTATTTATTTGGTCCTGGAGCAGTGCAGGAGTCCGACTAGGGACAGGAGCGGGTGATCCTGTGCAGGAAGAGGGGCACTTGGGAGCGAAGGGGGTAGTAGGCGGGGTCACTGATTGTCAAAGCAGAGCGTGGGACCCTGGGGGGGGGGGGAGACCAGATGGCTCCCCTCCCCCAGGGGTCCCTGGGGCTTCTGGGTATGTGCTTGGTGGGAGAGTTGGCAGTTACCACGACCGGTATGATGGGGGATGGGACGGCAGGACTGTGTCAGGTTGGGCGGAGTGGGGGTGGTGAGCGGTCAGAGAAGGCTTAAAGGCAGACCCGGGCCTGGCTTCGGCCAGGAGTCTGAGGTCAGGGGCCGAGTCCGGGCTTGGCAAGGGGCTGGAGTTGGGGATCAGGGTGCAGGCAGCGGCCTCGCTCGGTCGGGGGGCCGCAGGGAGTGCCACTGGGCAATGGGCCGCCGGGGGCTGGCCAGCATGTCTGCCCAGTGCCGCAGGCCGGCTCCCCCTGCCGCCGCCCCTACCGCCACCCTCCCGATGGCCTCGTTCTTGCCCAGCTTGTCATAGTCCAGCACGGTCAGCTCCACCTGGACCTTCTGCACACAGGAAGGGCA